TCTCTCTCTCTCTCTCTCTCTCTCTCTCTCTCTTCTCCCCCCTCCTCTCTCTCTTTCTCTCTCAAAAAACAAAAGAGGGGGGGGAAAAAAAAAAAGAAAGAAGAAAAACGGACGAGAGAAACTATATATCCGTGAAAACATTTCTCTTCACCCTCGTTACTTCCCTCGTTTGCGAGTGATCGACGAATTCGAGACGCGCGTTTTCCGTTCGAAATAACCACCATCGTCCCCGCCCCATCCTCCCCCTGAAACGCAACGAACTAACAAGGCCGACCGCGATAATTGCTGCAAAAAAACGAGGGAGAGAAAGGGGAGAAAGAGAGAAAGAGAGACGCGAGCTGAGAGGGAGATCCGTTAAAAGTGGACGAGATCTGCAAGTAAAATGCAGAGGGAAAGGGAGGAGGGGCGGATGAAATTTCAGATGGCACACGGGCGATCGTCGACGGTGCGCGAAACTTGGTCGCGAACCGAGGGCTAACTAACAACCGTTGTGTGTGTGTGTGTGTGCCATGCCGGGAAACAGTGCCACCCCGTTGGGTGATGGAGCCCCAAGATGTCCGTGCCTCGGAGGGGATGTCGCGGCTGGTGCTCCACTGCCACGCGGACGGATTTCCGCCCCCGGCGGTCTCGTGGCGGCGGGCCAGCGGCAAGAAGCCTGGAAATTATCGCGACATAGTGACGCACGAGCACGCCCAGAATCTGAGGATACACTCGAACGGGTCGCTGGTGTTTGGACGGGTGCAAGAGGACCACGAGGGATTCTACTTGTGCGAGGCTGTGAACGGGATCGGGGCAGGACTTAGCAAAGTCGTGCATCTCACGGTCAATGGTAAGATAATTGTTGGAAGGAATTGATTCGCCACGATGTGTGGCTCGAACGATGTGTATTAATTGTGGAGAAAGTTTACAATTTTGTAAAGATGTATAAAAAATAATTGTTCGGATGTAGTAACGATTTATTTGCGTTAAAATATTTAAACGTTTACGGATTGAACGAAATATACGGGGCGAACAATTAATCGATAATTGAGAAATATTTGAATAAATTTGTTGAGAAGCAATTTCAATTTCGGATATAACGTTTCAAAACGTTTATTTTAATTTAAATCGTTATAAATTATCGATGAGTTTTTGGTTCTTTTTTTTTTTTTAAATTTAAGCTAAAGTTAAGTTTAATTGTATTAGAAATTCACACGATGAATTTTTCTCAATTTGAATTTTCGTAAGGTTGAACAATGCAATAAGAGTCGAATATGTGAAAAGTAGAAACTTTCTACTTTTTTTTTTACTACCATATTTATTACTTGCAAAACTTTGCAAAACTGTATTAAGATTAATTTTAATGTTCAACGGTCACCCATATTTATGGATTAATTTTATGTTATGTTATAATATATATTCTATTCGTTATTCTATCGTTATTTATTTATTATTAATATTCCATTTCCAATTCTCAAGATTTCAATTTATTGTACGTTTGTCAAATTCGCTTTCTAAGTTAATTGCCTGCTTTTTTCTATTCATATGCCACGAAAATTTTTTACTCAAGCGTCCAAATCACAAATATTTATTTATACCTTTTATACATTTGATCTTGACACTTTATATACGTTCTCAATGAAATAATAAATTATAATGAAAAATTAAATCTCCGTAAGCTGAAAAAAAAAATTTCATCCAGTATTATCTCCTATTGTTCGAACCACCGTGGATCTCTCTGATCCATCGTTGCGTTCAAAATCATTTTGAAAATTCGAAGAAATTTGTTGTCCGCCCGGAGAATTAACTTCTTTTCTTTCGTGCGTACAATTATTATTTCTTTCGATTATTATTAATCATTATTGACGATCGCACAACAAACGCACGCAGTGCCCGCCCATTTCGCGGAGAAACACCGTAACCAAACAGCGAGGCTGGGCTCGAGCGCGTCCCTGCGCTGCGAAGCGAAGGGCGATCATCCCTTGAAGATACTTTGGAAGAAGATGGGCGCCCACCTGGAGCAGAAACTGTCCGACTATCGGTACACGCTTAAGGAGGAGAACACGACCGACGGCATCATCAGCACGCTCGAGTTTATAAGCACGAGTCGAGAGGACAGCGCGAGATACTTCTGCATAGCCTCGAACGCTTACGGCCGCGACGAAATGACGATCCACCTGTACATACAAGGTAAGAAGATAGATGATCCGGAAATCGTATTTCCTTCGCGATGACGCGGGGGAAACGAGAGACAATCGGCTCGTGGAATTCTCGCGGAACGAGTTATTAATGACGGTATGAGTCGCGTAATGAGTCGAGAGGAAATCGGAGGAGGAAAAAAAAAAAAAATAAAGAGGAAACGTTTCTCTCGGGGATTTAAAGACCGTTTTTCACGTGCACGATAATCCGCGGTAACGACGTTATCGGCCATAACACATCGACTCGTTTCGACGGAACAATTTCAATAATGTTTCCTGGTTCTTGGTATCTGCGTATAATCGCGCTCCGCGTAATTATCGTAATGTATACCGGCGCGTTTCACGACTCGTCCATTTAATTTAACGCGTTTTTTTTTTTCGCGTTTCACCAACCGAAAATAAAATATCCGTCTCGCTCGGATGCTTCTGCGTCACGTAACGATCACGTATCCAAGCGTTAGCTTATCACCACCGGTTATTGTGTTGTTAGAGACGCAATTTAACGAAGGTAATTTTTTTTTTTTTTTCTTTTTCTTTCGCCGATCAAGAGCCGCCTGACTTCCCCCGGAATCTTCACGTGATCGAGAAAGGAAGCCGTTACATCAACATCAGTTGGACGACCAGCCAGGATGGCAACAGCCCCATCACCCAATACATCATCGAGTACAAGACGGACACCGGTAATCGTTCGTTCGCATGCTTTCCTTCGTCATCGAATCTTGGGGACGATTCGTATTCGAAAAAAAAAGAATGAAAGAGAATTTTCCTTGAGCTTAACCCTAGCTAGACTACTAGTAGACAATTCAAGACTCGATGTAATACATATATATATAT